AGATGAGATCTAAATGGGTGCCAAGTTCAATGATCTGTCCTGAAATGTATTTATAACAATATAAAATATCATTTCTTCTTATAACTTAGGATAATATACTGTAGCCTAAGGTCTAACTTGGCCAGTTCTCATATACCAATTATTACTTTCGATTGCTAGTTACTATTAATATTAAAATAGGAACCGACAACTAACATGTTTAGAACTTGCGAAGGCTACAGTATATTTCGTATATGAAAACTAGCCAAGTTAGACCTTAGGCTACAGTATATTATCCTAAGTTATAAGAAGAAATGATATTTTATATTGTTATAAATACATTTCAGGACAGATCATTGAACTTGGCACCCATTTAGATCTCATCTCTTTTGTCGTAGAAGTCAACAATCAAGGTATATATCATAATATTAAACTCGGCTATCATTTCACATTTATGTTTTTGATGGGATATCATTACTTTTTGTACATAAATTAAACGAGGTACTGATTTATAACTAAATTAATACCAAATTATTTTTGATAAATTACTGTATTTTCGTATATTTACGGGGTATAATTGTCTTTTTTTGTGTTATTTTCTATATTTTCTTGTAACTTTTAAATGTTCAAGTGCATTGCCAATTCAGTATCAGGAATTTTTGGGCAAATCGGGGCGGTATAACGTCCACAAATGGTTGTACTCTACAATAGAGCTCTCGTGACTTGGATCAAAATTGTTAAGACGTACTCCATCTAAGGTTTTAACTCTGAAGAGTCCAACGTAAACCTGCCCTTTATTAAATATAGAGGAGGCTATGTTGAGAAGAGGACTGCCAAAACTAAGGCCTTGTGATTTGTGGATAGTAATAGCATATGTTAAGCAAATACGGAATTCTTCTCTGTCAACATATACATACATTATTTAATATCTGAAACTTGGTATTGACACGTTATAGTTCGTAAAGACGATTATGTAACAAATTGACTGTTATCTATTGAATTCTCAAGAAAACAATTTGTTACCAATAAGTTCTCATTCTCGAGTTAACTGTACATTCCTACTTATAACTATACTAAAATTGTTATTAATTTTTGGTTTAAACTATTGTCTATACCATACGTATTTACTAAAATAATGTAATAATAATATAATCACAAATATATAAGTATAATTTAAGAAAGCTATAAATTTCGTAGCATAAATCGCAACCTTATAGGTTAGATATCCAGAAACAAAACATTGAGTTTTATCGCACCGCTCCCACACGGCGCCGCCGCGGCGCCCTATACCGAAATGCCTATTATTTAATAATTATTTATAAAAATAATGATTTTACACTATTGATGTGCGCTAAATATTGAAACAATAATTAATACCAAATCTAAGTTAATAACATAATAAATACGAAATTCGACTATACTCCTAGTTATAAGTACGAGTATATTTTAGACAGAATCTAAATTATAGCAACTAGTGTTTACCGCTCAATGCAATATTTGAAGTTTGCTAGTTATCGACATTGATGTGAAGGGGTCAACGTAAATTGGTAATGATCGACGTTTTCATACAATATTACTTTCCGTCCAGTACAAGATGAGAATTTTCGCCAGGGATCAATGTCAATTGGTGGCTATCGACGTTTTCATAGAATTTTAGTATTCGTCCAGTATAAGTTGAAATAGAATCAATTAAAGTGAAAAATTGTAGTAAAATGATAACAATTTACCAGTTTCAGATTTTTTCCTTTATATTCACCTAATTACCTATCTGCATACCAAATTTGAACTTCCTAGGTCATCTGGAAGTGGGTTATAATTTTGATCTATAGTTGATCAGTGATAAAAATGACGATTTTTGGACATTAATATCTAAATAACCGTTTGAGATATGTTTATGAAATTTGGAACACATATTTATCTCGCAAGTCTCAATATATGAACCAAATTTGACAGGTTTGTGTGAAAGAGTTTTTGAGTTATGAGGGGGTCAAAAGTGGCTCCAAATGGTTCGTGTAAATATACACACGGTGCTGCAAGCCAGTTTACTTGAAACTCGGCTTGACACGCTGCCGCGTGTCTAGATACATTTATTTATTTTGGCTGCTTCGTTTTATTTCACGGCCCCGCACGGTGCACTGAAATAACAGTCTTTGGTTCAGATTAAATATATCTATATATTAAAATGTTCCATAAATATATTTAATACTACGTGTATTATATTAAATAAATATATAAGATACACACTGTTACACACACACACACACACACCTCGTTTTATAGTTCCTTTCTTATTTAAACCATATATTTTTAATTTTCAATTTTTGACGTATATATATTTGTACATTATTCTTCTGTCGCTGTGTCAAATGTGTATACTAAATATATAATTATAATATCGGTAAGTTATTTATTTATTTCACCCTACCATATTCACTGCCGCTCCTAGCCGTATTCTTTATACATATAAATAAAATTGGAGTGTCTGTTTGTAATATTGAAATAACCGTTTTTACCACATGCATATGAATATTGTTGTTGTACATTGTGGTACGTACGTACCGTATAAACAACAAAAACTTTCTTTTTTTAATTTTTTTCTGTCTGTCCCGGCTAATTTCTGAAATGCCTGGACCGATTTTGACGGGACTTTTATTGGTAAGTAGCTGATGTAATAAGTAACTTAGGCTTCTTTTATTTTAGTAATTTGTTAGAATATATTAATCTCTATTACTACTAATAAATATTATTATTTAATCAACAACATCAAAAATAAGCTTCTTGCTTAAAAAAAATGACGATTCTTCCATACAACCTTTCATCCCCCCTTTGAACCACTTACAACCCTTTTTCGCATTAAAAAAAAGTAAAGTAAGCATTAAGAATTTGTATGTCCTCTCTCAGGGTTAAGACTATCTGTGTATCAAATTTCATTTAAATCGGTTCAGTAGTTTTGACATGAAAGCGAGACAGACAGACAGACAGCCAGATATTAGTAAGGGATATATATAAATGAACAGCGACCGTTCAGGTGCGCAGTGAGCACAAATTACAGAAAGTATGACTCTGGTCTTGGGAAAGATGTTGGTAATGAGTTCCACCAGCAGCCACAGTGCACAGCGCTCCGCTGTTATTTATTTCATTTATTTAAATCAACAACAATATATACTTAAAATCCATAGCGCTGACAATGTTATCTGATTGCACTAATAATGAGTACGTAGCGGTTTCTATGTTGATTATCGCATGCCTCTTACTTGTTATTTATTTTAAATAGCATCCATTAAAAAGAGCAACACACAAGTTTCTTGCTCATTCTTCTTGTGATGAGTCTGCGTTCCGAATGAGCGGTAGAATCAAAATATGACTATTCAAAAGTGCTTGTAACGAGTTTTAACTGGTAGGGCTCTTCAATCGCTCAATTAAGTCTGTCTTCTAGAACTAGACTCTCTTGATTTGATGTTCTTGATTCTCATCGATGTGAGAAAGTGGCGTTAAGGTGACGGTCCATCAGGGTCCCTTGAGACCCGGGTCAGGCCGTGTGTTAGGCCTACGGCAGTGATATTACAGGACACGAGGCACGACTCCCTACTCCTCCAGAATGTGAATGCATGCGTGACATCACGAGTGTCACATCACAGCGTGGTGCAGTAGTGCAGTTCATGTATATAAGCGAGGGTTTACCATTAGCTTGTTGGGAATTACAGAAAAAATATAAATTATTGAATTTCTACTATTACAACTATTTTCACAAGTCTTTGTCTAATACATTATCGTAAATTAACATATTTTTATAATATAACTAGCTACTCGCCCGGCTTCGCACGGGTGTACATGTATATATTAACTTCCCCTTGAATCAATCTATCTATTAAAAAAACCGCTTCCAAATCCATTGCGTAGTTTTATGCGGATTATTTAAAAGAGCAACACACAAGCTTCTTGCTCGTTCTTCTTGTGAATCCGTTGCGTAGTTTTAAAGATTTAAGCATATATGAGGACGGACAGACAGCGACAGCGACTTTGTTTTATACTACATATGTAGTGATGACAACTTATAGCTGAAGTAAAGCCATCTTAGTGAATTCACTCAGAGAACAAGAAAAGAGATCTATTTGCTTCGCAGTATAATACAATGTACGCCGCGCCGTGGCCGTGCCGTGCAGTTGTGGGTGATGGTTCGTCGAGTAAAGTGTGCGGCCCCGCGCGGCACAGCCAGCAGTTGCGGTCGATGGCGACAGGGCGCATATTGATCCGGAACATACTCGGAGAACTCCACGCACCTCCATACTAGGCTGTTGTTAATTTTACCACTAACCAATTTAAATAAATACAGTACTAGAATTAACTCTCAACGCAATCAACTTAACTGTACTTAACTGAACCTTCATAAGAAGGTTGCTCACGTTGTAATCATGTTTTACAGAAAAATGATCTTCGCTCTAGATATGATCTTACAAGCTGAATGAATTTTACAGGTAAGTTATTAAATATTTATTTTGTAAAGAACACTACAGAGTTGTATGTACTCTGTTAAAGGCCTGAGATATATCCATATAAGGAATGGAGCTGCTCACTTCATTACAATTGAACTTCACTTGGTAAGTTCATTTCTTCATAACTTAACGGCACAATCCTGTGTCTCTGTATTTACAGGCATTTATCATAAATAATAATCATAAACCGTCAGTCTGCCTGCACAGACAACTAATAAACTGACATGAAACTATATCTATTTAGTAGTATTGTTTATTAGTACAATCAATACACACGCCTCGCCTGAATCCGAACAGTTGTCTATGATTTTACTTAGATATTAAAACTTTTCCCAATTACTACCTGTACTATATATAACCACACATGTTCAGATTATCCTATACTTTTGTAATATATTTTTAACTAAGTTAAATATTACTCGATTAAAATATAAGATAAATGGTAAATAAAATAAAAAACTTAAATTGCAAAACTTATTTTAATATTTCACTTATTTATAATCAAATCTATGAACTATCAGTTCGTGTTTACAATCTAGCCTGGATCCAGGAGAGGAAGGAGGTGACGCGGGCGAAGCCGGCGGGGAAGCCACGCTGGCAGCCGGAGGCGGAACCGAAAGACACCACACCGATCTGAGGGAAATTAAAATTACAGCGTTAATAATTGGAATTGCTATAAACATTACGTGTTACGGACTTCAGTAACACCTGGGACATAGACACCGTAGTCCTTTGAGAAAACCTCAACGCTCAACGCCATAACCTCTGATCTACGTGAACATTTACATTTGTAAGTAAATACTTAATCATAGGTACAGTGCAATAAAATAGATGTAAGCTCAAATATACATGTATATTTGAGCGTTACAATTATGTTCATCAACTCTCTATTAATATATTTCAAATAAATAATTGTGGCACTGACCAGGGTGCGCTGGCTTCCGTTCCAGAGCCACAGAGGACCGCCGGAGTCTCCGCCGCATGTGCTCTGTCCGTTGGCGCCGCTCACACACAGAGTGGAGCTGACGACGACGCTGGTGCCGTAGGTGGAGGCGCAAACTGCGTTGGTGATCACCTGCAGCTGCACGTGGCTCAGGAACTGGTTGTTGCCGATACCGGTGTCTGAAATTGTCATCATCATAAATGATCAGCAAAGGTTGAGAAAACTAAATAGGAAACTAAAGAGTTTCCCGCTGAAGAGCAACAAGCAAGATCATGTTAGTTCTCTGAGAATAATATTTATTTTTATTTTTTTTTTTTTTTAATTTTATTTATTCAGATAACAGAGATCCAATTTGTTAGTAACAATTGTACTTAGCCTATGTTAGTATATCTAAAATTACATATTATCATTTAAGGGCCCCCGTAACAATTTGGGTCCAAAAACAAAGTATTGGTCTATCAAATTTATTGCACAGCATTTTCATCATAATATAGATGGGTATGTAAATAATAGTAAACGAATGCTCACTGTCGGATGTGCGTCCGAAGCCGGCGGCCCACGCCCAGCTGCCGGCGAAGTTGTTGTTGGCCAAAGTGGTGGGCAGGTTCACGGGCTGGATGTTGTCTGCAAGCAAACAGGTGATGAAGAATTATACGATGCAACAATATTATTGATGGTTGCAAATTTCGGTCACAATACTCCACTATAATAAGATACTGTAGGTTATTGAGGAGTCGATTTAGTCATAGTTATCATTGACTTGGACTTGAAAACTCCAAATTAACTCATGTGAAGTTAATTATGCTAATGTTAAATGATGTCCAGATGCTTCGGGCGAAATCACAAGTAAACTATTGAGACAATATCCAATATTTGACTGTTACTATATGTTAGCACATGAAACCTCTTTTTGTATAAAAGCCATATAATTGTAATTAAAAATAAAATAAAAACTTCTTTTCTTTCTGTCAACACGGTCTATCATTTATTATTAATTTTATTGATTTTAAATGCATTATAAATAGATCACAGTGAGAAACACTAACAAAATTGGTGCCGAAACCCATATAATAAAATGATTAATCCATCAGTGCAAGAATCAACAGTTGACCTCAAGAGACTTCGTTTCGAACGCGGCCGTTGTAAGGCAACCATTACCCGGTTGGAAACGTTTCTCTCATCAGGGGTTGCTGACACTGAATCATTACATCTCCGTAAGGGAATTTTAGAGGATGCTTATAAAAAATATACCGCCATTAATGCGGACATCATGTACCACGATCCTGATGATGATGAGGATGAAGTTCAAATGGAGGAACGGTATTTTAAATTAAATGCTGCATTAAATCATCACACCAAGTCTATTCCATCAACCATTTCATCATCAATATCAAAGTTGCCGCCCATAGAAATTAAAGTTTTTGATGGTAAGGAACTTTCCGAGTATATACCTTTTATCGAGATCTTCACTGCTGTCATCCACAAAGACCATAATCTCAGTGACATACAAAAGTTAATATACCTGAAGAAATATCTACGAGGCGAGCCACTCTCTACAATTGACAATTTACCTCTTTGCAACGATTCATACCAAGATGCGCTGCTTCTTTTGAAGAATAGGTATAATAATCCGTTCTTATTAGTAAGTAATCATATAAATAGTTTGTTAGATATAAGTCCATTTCATAGAGGTACTGCATGTAATTACAGAAATATAATTGTTAAGGTTAAACAAAATTTAGCAGCTTTAAAAAATTTAAACGAGCCCACAGAATACTGGGACTCATTACTAGTTAATATTATTTGTAGAAAAATTGATCCGTTTACAGTCAAACTCTATCACTGCGAGAGAGACCATACTGTCAAACCCACAATGTCGGATCTACTGTTGTTTTTAGATAAAAGAGCTGTTGCTCTCGAATCGTGTGGGTTAGAACCACCTAAAAGTAAATGTGTAAATAATTATGTACAGTCAGCAGACAAAAAACATTTTAACATTACTTGTAAGTTATGTGCTCAGAGTCATAGGCTTTATAACTGTCCTCAGTTCATTTTATTGTCTGTTCATAAACGCGTTGATTTTGTAAATAATAATAATATTTGTAAAATATGTTTATTTTCACATGGTGGAACGTGTAAATATCACTTTAAATGTGCAACCTGTAAGTCTGTTTCTCATAACACGCTATTACACATGAATTCGTCGCCACCAGCTAAGCTCGTAGCATCTGATGGTGAGGCAGGTATAAGCGAAGTACAGTCTTCACAAGAACAGGTCATTATGCACACTACCAATAATAAGGTAAGCAATATTTTGTTGCCTACTGTACAAGTATCAGTATTTGATATAAAAAATAATAAGCATACTGTCCGAGCGCTGGTTGACTCCGGCAGTGAAACGTCCTTTTGTACCACGCGACTTGCAGATATATTAGGTTTACCTCAGTCTCAATCTAGCAAAAATATTATTACGCTTGGTCAAAAATCTAATAAATTATATAAATGTGTAAATATTAATGTTCATTCTATGACCGAACCATTTAGTTTATTTGCATCTTGTTACATTATTGACACCATTACAACAAAACTCCCTCATAATTACATTGTCATTAAAAATTTCAATATACCCAAACATGTTACCTTGGCAGACATTAAATTTCATATGCCAGGTGAAGTGGACCTCTTGCTTTCTTCGGATATATTCTTTCGAGCATTAAAAGATGGTAAAATTGAAGGAAATCCATGTGATCCTATACTGCTTAACACACGATTTGGTTACATTGTTTCTGGTTCATATAGGTCAATCAATAATGTTGAATCATTAAATAATGCAGTTGTTTTACATACTTCAGAAGATTACTCTGATTTAGAATGCAATAGTCAACATTTATGGGAGGCGAAGAAAGAAAGTTTTAACGAATCCCTCCCCGAGCATAAATGTAGTGAGACTGTTTTCAAAGAGTCAGTTAGTTTAATAAATAAGTGTTTTGATATAAAATTATCATTAATAACAAACATTGATAGTATTAATTCTGCAGACTCGTTTGTTTTAGCTTTGCAACGTTTGTATCACTTAGAAAAGATATTCAGTAGGAATATATTAATAGTAAATATATTATATTATAACCTGTATTGTGATTTAAGAAATAAATATTTAAATTTAGGTTCCGAAAAAGTTGTGAACCATTGTACACAAATAAATAAACTAATATATTTTCTTCCCTATCATGGAGTTTTAAGTTTAAATATGGTTACAAATAAATTACTTGCTGTATTTTATGGAAGTACAAAAAACGATTCTTCTCACAGCCTTAATAATATCCAATGGTTCACCACCTCACTAGCTGTTGGGTAAGATAATCAGAAATATATATGTACATCAAAATTGTAATTTTACCGATCGGGATTTAAGTTGTTATTAATATTAAGATTATTATTAATATTAAGCTAATTATTGTATTGTAGTTATAATGTTCTTGTATTATTATTTTGCCCTCGGCAATATGTTAGCACATGAAACCTCTTTTTGTATAAAAGCCATATAATTGTAATTAAAAATAAAATAAAAACTTCTTTTCTTTCTGTCAACACGGTCTATCATTTAAAATTGTATTATTGTACAAGAACTACTAAGTTATTCTCAATATTAGCTAAGGCAATAAGGCTACTCACTGGTGTAGGCGACCCAGTTGAGGTTGATGATGGCGATGTCATTGTTGAGGTTGTTGGTGTTGTAGTTGGCGTGCACGGCCACTGAGGAGCTGGTGATGCGGGTGCCGCCGGAGAACAGCAGCAGGGAGCCCAGCACCACGGTCAGCTGGCGCGCGTTCTGGCGGCCGTCGAACCAGCAGTGGGCGGCGGTCACGGCGCGCGTGTTGGACAGCAGCGAGGAGCCGCACACAGAGGTGCCACCGGATTGGAGAGTGATCAGCAGGCCACCCTGGGTGAAATAGAAAATATTTCATGATTAGTCTCAATAATACAATACATTTGAAATTATAGGAAACGGTGGTGTAACACCCCATACTTCAGGAATATGCAACAGGTGACTGATTGTTTTTTTTATACTCGAAGGTGGCAATAGGGTTATCGCCAGCATCCTGGTTATTGCAACCAAATGGGTGCAGTAAGTTGATTTAACCAGGAGTGTCTCAGGGTAGTATAATAGGTCCCTTATTAAATATAAAAATTAACAACTGAGACACTTTAAAGTTAAAATATTTAAATATTATAATAATCACGAATATTCTAACTATAAAATTTACTTGGAATAAAGTATGTATTGTCACTCACCAGATGAGGGTGGTCTCCGAGGGCGGCGGGGGAGCCCCCGACGATCCTGGAGCCGTCGAAGTCGCCGGCCTCCTCGCTCCTCTTGATGGCGGCCGCCAGAGGGATGCCCACGTTCTCGTGGTAGTACAGACCGATCGGCTCCTCGGCCACCACCGCTCCCACCAGCGCTACCAGCAATAACAGTTTCATCTTCAGGCAGGGAAGTAACAACGTTATATGATGCGATCGATTCTACGACGTACTTTTATATAAACATTTGGGACATCAATCTTTGATTAATCACTAGGATTAATAATTTAAAACATTCATTAGATATAGAAATAGATTAGTAGCGCGGGTTTTCACGTTAGGTCGTCTGATTGTAGTCCACTACTGCTCACTACGTGATATTGTTGTTGACTCATGTTCATTTGTCTATAAGCCGTTATGACAATACATTTAGTAGGCAGTGAGCTCCATCATCTTTCTGAGACTGAGTTATGTCTTTATAGGATTCTAAATTCATAAAACAGCTTCCGTAGTGGAACTGTCCATGCATACGTCCCTGTAATTTGTACTCGATATTAGGAATTTTTAAACCTTACTGACATTATTTAAACATTGTACAAAATGGTAATGGTAGTTGTATATGTCAACCATAAGATAAATTGATTTTAGTATGTGTTGTACATGGCTATTTGTTTATAATATATATACATATACATACTAAGTACTTGATTTACATTGTTTTATTTTATTCAGCTACCATTATCGTGTGTGAGACCACAAATATTCAGTGCTGAAACCTGACCACCGCCACTGGAAGCGTTACGACCTTCTCTATTGGTGATCAAATCCCGACCGTTATTGAGTCTGCATCCATATCGCGTCGTGTTTCTCCTCTGAACGAGGCTTCATCAGGCGGTGAATAGAGTTCGGATATAGCTTGGAAGCCCCATAGAGTTGACTGTTCTACAAACTAACTGCACCGAATAATGTAAATCTATTACGAGAAATGAAATGGACAAATTAGAATAGAATAAGGATAGAAAATCCAATGAACTTAAACTTCATCATCATCATCATCATCGCAGCCCGGAAGATGTCCTCTGCTGGACATAGGCCTCCCCCAGAGATCTCCACGACGATCGGTCCTGCGGTGCTCGCGCGACCTTGACCAGATCGTCGGTCCACCTTGCTGGAAGCCTTTCCACGCTGCGTCTTCCGGTCCGCGGTCGCCACTCGAGGCCATCTTAGTATATTTTACTTTTTATTTACACAATGATTCGAAATTAGAAATTTGAAAATTATTAATTAACTAGCTTTTGCCTGCGGCTTCGTTAATTTATCCCCTTAGGGGTGGAATTTATCAAAATCCTTTCTTAGGGGATGCCTACGTCATAGTAGCTTTATGCATGCAAAGTTTCAGCCCGATCGGTTTAAAATTGACAAAGTTTCATACAAACTTTCAACCCCTATTTTATTCCTTTGGGGGTAGAATTAATCAAAATCCTTTCTTACGGGTGCCTACGTCATAACATGTACCTGCATGTCAAATTTCAGCCCGATCCGTCCAGTGGTTTGGGCTGTGCGTTGATAGATCACTATGTCAGTCAGTCACCTTTGAGTTATATATGTATTTAGATAAAGTTTGATATCATAACATGGCGAATTAACAATACATTTTTATTTTGTAAATTACTTAATATTAAACACTAGTAGTAGTAGATATAAGGAAGTGCTATTATTTTTTAGATCCGTTAAACAAACTACATACTGTATACATTAGACTTCGGCAAAATAATTTCCAAATCGATAAAATATATACTTTAATTATAAACATTATTATCATGATTACTGCAGAAAGTAATCGTAAATGCGTAACGTTGGTGTGCGAAACAGTAAACTAACGGCTGCCACGTGATCATATGATTGTGATCTAGCGCACTGGATTAACTCAATAATTACAAATATTAGAATATCTATACATGTAAATAAAATAGCTGTTACGAGTATATACGGCCTCCTCACCGATTACGATTTTATAATAGTTTAGTTGTCAAATACTGATTGACATTAAAAATACATTGTAAATATATTATAGAAGGAGACAATAGAATTATTCTGCTGCTAACAGCAGATTGTTATTATTTATTAGTAAACATATCATCTCAACAAAAAAGAACCCCACCACAACAATAGCAGCGTCAGTTTGTAATATTGAAATAACAGTTTTTTACTACATGCATATGAATATAAATACAATACATACACCAAAATAACAGTTTTTACAATTTTTGTCTGTTTATCTGTTTGTTCCGGGTAATCTCTAAAACGACTGGACCGATTGTGACGGGACTTTTATTGGCAGGTAGATGATATAATAAGGAGTAACTTAGGCTACTTTTATTATAGAAAATAAAGTTAAATTCCACGCGGACGAAGTCGCGGGTACAGCTAGTCCACTATAACGTTTAAGTCTACTCGCAACAATTTGCAAGTTGTCAGTCATTTGAGTGTAGTACTAGGCGCAGATGGTGTAAATATTTTTTTGCCTTATTTTTATTATACGCTATTGTTATTTCGTTTCACTAAGCAGGCAAATTTGTACAATCAATCAATCGATGATAATTTTATTTAATCAGGATATAAAACCAGTGCAACGTAATCGGTACACATGATTCACCACATTTAAAATTACACAAACATGCAGACGTCTACACGGCCTCACATATAGTAATTGTATTGTTTTATTTATTAGATCAATACATGATTTACACCAACTCAACCCCTCCGATCGATCCCCCGTCCAATTCAAACGGGGATCGAAATTTCGACGGCCTGAGCTGAAGTTCGAACCCCTAGCGGTGCCCTCAGACTGGCGTCGTATCCGTCAGGCAGGAGTTGTCCTTCCATAAGTCCTTCCTTTGGTTTGTGCCATCTGCACTCGCCCCCTATCGTCCGGTGAAGCTGTAAAGGCCAGCTGCGGCCAGCATTAGAGTAGACAGAACAAAACCATCTAAATTATATTGTATAATAACAACAAATAACAGGTAACATAATACAGTTCAAATAAAATTTTCTCTGCCGTCCAGTTTAGTATACAGATTCTATTCTATTATGAACAAGTGACCAGAAACTCAGCTGTTTTGTTTTAAGTCAGTATGTTTACGTTGTGTTCATAGAGCAATATTAAATAGTAGTCAACTACGACACTGGTATGAGTATCACTCTAGGGTCCTTACTTAATTACCAACTGGTAGATAGGAAATGCATTTTACTTTATTATTATTATTTAGTATTGGTTGTTTATTATTATTGTTATTATTTATTTATTTTTCTGTACATAATGATTTCATCTCTAATTTAATGAATTGTTTTTTATTTACGTTTATCTTATATAATAATTTATATGCAGCTGTCAGCATCGTTTTTATTGTATTGTGATGTGTGATGTAATCAATGTTATTCTATTCTATTCTAAGTAAAGTGAGGCACGTAACAATTCGACCTTTTTGATATGATTAGAGCGGCTAACATGCCGGCGGACCACCTGATGGTAAACGGTAGCCGTCACGTTGTCTCGAGACACCCGTGACATTACTCATGCGCTGCCACTCCATAACGCTAAGATAGGTGTATTCCTCCTGTCCTATAATTTATTCCTGTTCAATGTTTTAAAATGTAATCTTGAAAAATTCAATGGTGCTCTAATAAATTTCTTTTATACAATTCGAGCTTCATTGATGAAAGTGAAAAGTATGGGGTAACCATAGTAATATCGCATATCTTAAAACAGAAACTTGATATGCTGTATGCGGCGTTCTCGCTTAAAAGCGTCTGAGAGAAATCTATTAAGTTTAGAGCATGTGTCATTTACAGGTTATTTCCAGTTACAGTTAAGATCTAAAATAATGCCTAAACATTTATAAATACATTGTTACGATTTTCTATTGTTAATATAATAATTTTATAATCAGCAAATTGCACATAATTTGTTTTTTGTATATTAATAAGTAGTTGATTACAATCAAGCCAGTACCTAATATCTACAAGCGCTTTATTGATCCTGTCATTGTAATTAATTGAAGGATTATTGTGTGGTATTATCATAGACGCATCAACTGCAAACAGGATACATTGTTCCTTTGTTGCTTCACGTAAGTCATTACATAAGTTATACTTATTCGAAAAGGAGGGGTCCTAAAACACTTCCCTGAGGAACTCCTGTTTTTTACGTAAATATGTTTATACTTTTATGAAAGTAGTATTTTAATTTTTACACACTAATAGAGAACTAAGTTTCAGTCCATTTAACGGCCCCTGATATAGTAGGTTACAAATTTGAATTTTAAAAAATGAATGTAATGATTAATAATAGCAAAAGCCTCATCATGTCAAAAATACATATTACTGTAACTGGTATCTTTTTATATTTTATCTGTATGTTGTATAAACTAGATCTAAACATCAATGTCTAAACTGAAACTAGAAACATTATGTAAACATTGACAACTTAAACATTCATATCTTTAAAGTTATCTCAGTTCAGGTGTACCTTAGTAGCCTTTTATGTCACTTTCTCACGTTAGCGTTAACTAAAGTAATATAAACTGTTGAAAAAAAAATATATATAATAATATTATTCTAATTTCAAGCAAATTCCCTATTGTATCCTTGAGTGGCACAGAGTAATGACGACACATAATAAATACGGCAATCTTTGGTTGTGTAACTCTGTATGGAAACTGTTAATTATGAATCCGCCGGTATTTATAATTGCATGTATATTTGTATGTGGGATGTGGCGTACTCATCGTTGATGATAACAAGAAAAAAACTTCATATTAATTACAGAACTTATTTTAATATTTAACTTATCATTAATCAAATCTATAAATTGTCAGACACATTTACAATCTAGCCTGGATCCAGGGGAGGAACGAGGTGACGCGGGCGAAGCCGGCGGGGAAGTAACGCTGGCAGCCGGAGGCGGACACGAATGACACCACACCGATCTGAGGGAGATAAACAATATAATAATAATATGTAACACTCAAGTAATCAGAATATTACATTTGTTATTGATGCTAAAGTAAACATCAAAGTTATACAGAATGTAGATTCATCTAAGAAGAACTGACTGACTGCATTAGCCATCAAATTAGTGTTATGTTTAAACATAGTAATGAAAACAGGATGGGCACTGACCAGGGTACGCTGGCTTCCGTTCCAGAGCCACAGAGGACCGCCGGAGTCCCCGTTGCACGTGCTCTGTCCGTTGATGCCGCTCACACACAGAGTGGAACTGACGACGACGTTGGTGCCGTAGGTGGCAGCGCACACCGCGTTGGTGATCACCTGCAGCTGTGCATGACTCACGAACTGATTCATGCCGATACCGGTGTCTGAAATTGTAAATATCTGCCTTAAGTTTCCGCTACGTAATATTGCTATTGCTGTCAAATTATTTTTGACTTTATTTTGCTTTCACAGTTAATAAAAGTACTTTGAGATGTATTATACATGGGTATGTAAATAATAGTAAACTAATGCTCACTGTCGGATGTGCGTCCGAAGCCGGCGGCCCACGCCCAGCTGCCGGCGAAGTTGTTGTTGGCCAACGTGGTCGGCAGGTACACGGGCTGGATGTTGTCTGCAAACAAACAGGTGGAGGTGAAGAATTATACGATGACAAAGATGATGATGAAAATGAAATATTGATGGTAATGAAAATTAGTAACAACATTCCATTCTACGTAGACAACGTATAATAAGATACTAAAGGTCATTGAAGAGTCAATTTAGTTAAAGTTGCTAATAGTATTGTGTATTAATTTACAAGAATTATTAAGATAATATACTGCTACTGACTGGTGTAGGTGACCCAGCTGAGGTTGATGATGGCGATGTCATTGTTGAGGTTGTTGCTATTGTAGTTGGCGTGTATGGTCACCGAGGAGCTGGTGACGCGGGTACCGCCAGAGAACAGCTGCAGGGAGCCCAGCACCACGGTCAGCTGGCGCGCGTTCTGGCGGCCGTCGAACCAACAGTGGGCGGCGGTCAGAGCGCGCGTGTTGGACAGCAGCGAGGAGCCGCACACCGAGGTGGCACCAGATTGCAGCGTTACCAGCAGTCCACCCTGGGTGGGTTAGAAAATGTTTCATGATTTGTCTTAAACATATTATACATTTGAAATTACGGAAAATAATATTACGAAATTACTAAGCACTGAAGTTTGAAATTCTACACTTATTAATAAAAAAATGTAATCGCTAATTTAATATGTCACTAAGTTTTGTCGGATAATGCATTGTTTTATAATTACATAAAATAAAGTTTTCTTGTAACAAGTCCGCAGTAGTTTATAACATTGGTAATTTGGAACAGCGGTCTGTGTTTGGCAAAGATTTGCAAAATTTGTCTAATTGAAGAGGAAACACTACTGTAATCCTATTTGGTTGCAGCCCACTCATGCAAAAACGCAATATCTCCTCTGGAAGAAAAAAAAAGCAAACAAAATAGATTTCGCTACTTGAGGTATCAAGTAAGCTACCGTCTTACATTTTGAAGATGCTGCAACAATTTTTTTTGTGTAACAATATAACCACAAATATGTAATCACGAATATTATTGCTGTCTATCAAATTCTTTTCTAAAAGTACTGAGTATTAAGAATATTGTCACTCACCAGATGGGGGTGGTCTCCGAGGGCGGCGGGGGAGCCCCCGACGATCCTGGAGCCGTCGAAGTCGCCGGCCTCCTCGCTCCTCTTGATGGCGGCCGCCAGAGGGATGCCCACGTTCTCGTGGTAGTACAGACCGATCGGCTCCTCGGCCACCACCGCTCCCACCAGCGCTACCAGCAATAACAGTTTCATCTTCAGGCAGAGAAGTAACAACGTAATAATAGTAATCACTTGCACGACCGACTTTTATATAAACATTTGGAACATCAATCTTTAATTAATCGGATCGGATTATTGTTTTAAAATATTCATCATTAGATATTGTGTCAGATTAGTAACGCGGGTTTTCACGTTGCCTCGTTCGTTGTTAGTACACAAGTTTGTTTTCATTAATATCTGTAGAATGTTATCATTATCTATGAACTAGTTGGGTGTCGTCATCCCAAAGTTCCTAGTGTGAATCATTCTACTTACTACAAAGTGAATTACTAATTTGCAGGCGATAAAGCAAACCGGGGCACTGATCATGTATCGGGCGGCGCACGCAGCGTTACAGATAGCTCCTTGATCATAAGATTTTTTGTTTTTTTCCATTGTACGTACGCTGATGACAAAAATAATATATTATTTATTTTATATGTGTTGTTTGTTTGTATCACCATCAAATTCTTCTTTTAAAAGAAATATAGTCTATCAGCCAGCAAATCAAAATATGTTCATGTGTTGGCATACACATGTACTGACTCATCTTTAAATTTATTTTTAAATTCAATTTGGACATCGTAGTGACCACCAGCATATACTGTTGCATTGTCAAAAGGAAATATTTGACTATAACGTGACGTAACTTCAACAGTATCTAGTCCCAAATTAAGTAAAGCTTTTAAAAGCATACATAGAAACTGATACACATACTTATATATTTATTTTTGTAAATACATAAAAGAAATCACCCAGGCCGATGCAAACAATCATACTCATGGAAACAAATAATTGCACTGTGCAAGGAATAGAACCCGCGACCATCAGAATTTAAAAGCTGTGCTAAATCGTTGGACCACCTACGTCGTTAATGCCAATGATAATGTTATCATCGTGTGAATTAATGATTGATCGCTTGTTGATCCAAACACCACTCCAGACCGTAGACCCGCTGACGCGTGCATTCTTTCGTAACTCGGGAAAAGTCCTCAAAGACCCGCCCGCCCGGGGGACGTAGACGGGTCCTGCCGGGGTCTTACCAGCTACATCCCAAGGTGTTCCTTCTCTTAACTTTTTGTCAGAGTTACGGCGCATTCCCGTAGCAATGTTCAGCAACCCTGACGGAACGCGGGCATCCTACAAACATACACTGGTTTCCAATATACAACTCCTAATACAAATCGTTAGATAGATAGATAAATAGTTAAACGATCTATTTGTATCTTCAGTACACACATAATAGAAAAACAAACAAGATATACTTTGTTTAATTCTACTACCAGAGACCACAAACATTCAGTGTGGAAACCTGACCATCGCTACTGGAAGCGTTACGACCTTCTCTATTGGTGATCAAATCCCGACCGTTATTGAGTGTACACACATATTGCGACACGCGTTTCGACTAACAGTCAACAATAGGTAAATAATATAAATACATTCAGTAGTGAAATGTATTTCCGCATTAGATATTTACACATATTTTGACAAAATATAAAGTGAAGCAGAACAAAGAAAAAACACAATCTAATGACTAAATTGAAATCCTTTGCACGCGATCGCAACACAACATTGTCAATGATCCTGAAAAGGACAAAACCAAAGATATTACCACAATCACTAAGAAAATTGTTATCAAAAGAAATGAAGGGAAAAAATATTAATACAAAAATATGTTATGGTTCATAAGCGGCCGAGTTGTGCGACCTGAATAATTTTAATGTGATTTATTTTGAAAACACAACTAGAATTATTTTGACTCGACTATGAATAATATGAGCAAGAGGTGATGAAATTTATTTTTATTTATTTGCTTTATATACCACTAAAATTGGTACAAAAGGTGGATTTCGGTTTTAGACTTCTCAGATGGACTCGTTTGTACTTACCGAGAACCTTACAGTATAATGTGGACCGATTATAATAATACTTTCACCTGCAGATAGTTACATCATCAGCGAATAACACGGCATGTATCTTCTTACTAATATAAACACGAAGGTTTGTGTGTATGGATGGAAGTTTGTTATTCTTTCACGCAAAAACTACTCAACTGATTTTGATGTAACTTTACAGTAATATAGCTTATATATCAGAGTAACACATGGGCTATAATTTAAAGAGATATGTCAATTGGGTGAAATACAATGACAAATGTCAAGTAACTGTGATGAAGGAAGCTGCTCGAGTCAGCTACATACACATCAGAAACTGCAACAATAGTTTCATGTAAATAACTATGATATACGTAATTGAGTATTATTAATTATTATTAATCAACAAGCTGTTCCCGCGACTTCGTCCGCGTGGAATATAACTTTATTTTTCTAAAATAAAAGTAACTTAAGTTACTTTTTATTATATCAGCTACCTGCCAAAAAAAGTCCCGGCTAAATCGGTTCCGACAGCTGTCTGTCGGTCTGTTTGTATCTCTAACAGACAACATTTTTTTTAATGTTATTTTGGTGTATGTACCGTATTTATATTCATATGCATGTAGTAAAATACGATTATTCCAATATTACAAACAGACACTCCAGTTTTATTTATATAGATGTAGACTGTAATTTCACACGACGTTATCAAATTACTGAATAGTAATTATCTTGTTCGTAACATATTATATATATAGTATAAACATAAACTCATATATCAAAAAATAACAATCTGCTAAATTAAAACATATACTGAAACCTTAAAAAAAACAAACGTTTTATCATGGTATTTTCCTTACTTTCAGTTGTATGTCAGAGTACGTACACGTATTCATATATTATCACAATATGTACATACGTCTGTATGTGCTGTGAAATCTAATATAAACTATTTAACTTAAAAATCCTTCCGGTTCTTGTCAATTGGTGACAATTAAATTAAAAACGTCACATATATTGTAACATTTATTTTATTGTTTCACTTATTTATAATAAAGTCTATGAACTACAGGCGCAGTTACAATCTAGCCTGGATCCAGGAGAGGAAGGAGGTGACGCGGGCGAAGCCGGCGGGGAAGCCGAGCTGGCAGCCGGAGGCGGAACCGAAGGACACCACACCGATCTGTGGGAGAAAATAAGTTATGATAACACTCTAACAAAATAAAAACCAATATACATATCTTCTACCAAATACTGAGGGTTCGGTTCAAGTGGTTGTTAAGGCTTTAGATTCCTGCCAATTACTCTTAACGTAAAAACAACGTACAAGTGATAATTTTACAGTAACGTACGTTACTTTCAATTAATGTGCAAAAAGATTAGAAAACAAAAATCACAAATATTTTATTAATATCCAGTGTGATTGTCATTAAATCATTCATAGTCAGTTCAAAATTTAGTTGAATAAATGAATATAAAGAATACTTTAAAATATATTTAGAAGAATAAGATGTGTACTGACCAGGGTGCGCTGGTTGTTGTTCCAGAGCCACAGAGGACCGCCGGAGTCTCCGCCGCATGTGCTCTGTCCGTTGGCGCCGCTCACACACAGAGTGGAGCTGACGACGACGCTGGTGCCGTAGGTGGAGGCGCACACCGCGTTGGTGATCACCTGCAGCTGCACGTGGCTCAGGAACTGGTTGTTGCCGATACCGGTGTCTGAAATTGTCATCATTATAAATTACCAGCGAAGGCTGAGAGAACTAAATAGGAAACTAAAGAGTTTCCCGCTGAAGAGCAACAAGCAAGATCATGTTAGTTCTCTGAGAATAATATAGATGGGTATGTAAATAATAATAAACTAATGCTCACTGTCGGATGTGCGTCCGAAGCCGGCGGCCCACGCCCAGCTGCCGGCGAAGTTGTTGTTGGCCAAAGTGGTGGGCAGGTTCACGGGCTGGATGTTGTCTGCAAGCGAACAGGTGATGAAGAATTATACGATGACAAAATATTATTGATGGTTGCAAATTTCGGTCACAATACTCCACTATAATAAGATACTGTAGGTTATTGAGGAGTCGATTTAGTTATAGTTATCATTGACTTGGACTTGAAAACTCCAAATTAACTCATGTGAAGTTAATTATGCTAATGTTGAATGATGTCCAGATGCTTCGGGCGAAATCACAAGTAAACTATTCAGACAATATCCAATATTTGACTGTTACTATATTATTGTACAAGAACTATTAAGTTATTCTCAATATTAGCTAATGCAATAAGGCTACTCACTGGTGTACGCAACCCAGTTGAGGTTGATGATGGCGATGTCATTGTTGAGGTTGTTGGTGTTGTAGCTGGCGTGCACGGCCACTGAGGAGCTGGTGATGCGGGTGCCGCCGGAGAACAGCAGCAGGGAGCCCAGCACCACGGTCAGCTGGCGCGCGTTCTGGCGGCCGTCGAACCAGCAGTGGGCGGCGGTCACGGCGCGCGTGTTGGACAGCAGCGAGGAGCCGCACACAGAGGTGCCACCGGATTGGAGAGTGATCAGCAGGCCACCCTGGGTGAAATAGATGAGTTAATTAAGGACCTGTCCTAATTAATTTAACATTACAGCTTAAACCTTAGAAAAGGCAACGTCGAAGGCTACAATGGGCATTGTATCCTATGACATGTTATGTTTACCAGTTTTCATTAAGTGATTGAAATAAAATTTGATATATTTAGTGATCAAATCCTAAACTAATAATAAATAAGCATAGTTTTTCCCAGAATTTCCAGGATTGCCGTCGCAGGCAGAGGATTATCAGATTCAGACACAGCTGGTTACACTTGTGAAATGGATAAATATGACACCCCGTGAACACAAGATCTGAGAAATTCTTACTTTTTACAATTACAAACAAAAAATAAATTACTGTTGACAAAGTTTTATCGGATTTGAAAATCACTAAGTTTCTTTGTATTTATATTGCAGGTTTACAGTATTTTATTTCGTTGTGATAGATAGTATTTTGGTATGAGTGATTATTCGTTTATAATAATTATAAATAGTCTATCACATACTTTTCTAATATAGAGTATGTATTGTCACTCACCAGATGAGGGTGGTCTCCGAGGGCGGCGGGGGAGCCCCCGACGATCCTGGAGCCGTCGAAGTCGCCGGCCTCCTCGCTCCTCTTGATGGCGGCCGCCAGAGGGATGCCCACGTTCTCGTGGTAGTACAGACCGATCGGCTCCTCGGCCACCACCGCTCCCACCAGCGCTACCAGCAATAACAGTTTCATCTTCAGGTAGAGAAGTAACAGTAATATGACCGTGAACACTTGCAGGATCGTCTTTTATATAAACTTTTATTGGAACATCAATCTTTGATTAATCACTCGGCTTAATATTTTAAAACATGCATTAGATATTGTAGCAGATTACAAGTGCGAATTTTTTTGATTAGGTACGTCGTTCGATTACTTATATACATAAATTTTATTGTGTGTCATAAATATTTATCATAATTCTCTACGGAGGAAGCAGTTATTGTACTACAGAGATTTATAGATTCCAAAAGATCTGGCGCTTCAAAAACGAGAAGACTTATGGCTTTTAACATCCATACCGGATGTATGGATGTTAACAGCCTGATTAACCTGATTATGTAAAATGTTTAGTTACATACAACTCAAATCAATTGATTAACGTGATTGAAATACAATATTATTATTTAACTCAGGATATAGTTATTAAAATTAATGAATTCATTATTGACAAATTTAAATATGACACAAAAGACAGGGCTAATGTTAGAAGCGGTCTCTATCAGTTGACCGTTGTAATGAACTGCAACTCCCGAAATGAATATATTTAGAATTGGTAGTACACGTTCGTAAATCGAGTGGACCCGACGGCATCTCTGCTATTGTGCTCAGGACTTAAGAGCTTGAGTTGGCTAATGTGCCTTTTCTGGTACCGCTATTACGGTCCGAAACTTTGGAAGACGGCTTTGGTTTATCGATCTCTAAGAAATGACGCTCAGACTCAATTAACTATAATATTTTTGTTATGTCATTAATAGAATGGAAAATATGCTCACAATAGCATCATTCCTACTATCTATAATATTATAAACAAAACAGTACTCCTATCTGTTCGAGAATATCGCGACAAAAATTTGGTTTTGTTTTTTTCCTTTTTTATTATGTTTTTTTTCTTATTAAGGCCTGTTATCAGTGTGGTCATTAGAGTTAGAAACAATAATGCAGGACTCTGAACATTTTCTGTTAATCCAGCGCATACACCGTTATAATATTCTTCGTGTTCATTAATATCATTCCTAGTTTTAATATCATGAAATAAATCAAAAGTCACAATTTCTATCATGATCATTAAATAATTGTGGACTTTGAACTTTCATTCGATTCTGTCTAATTCAGTTCAAATCAACAAATTATCTAGATTAATATTATAAACAGGATAGATTTGATTGTTTGTTTGTATGAGATTAAAAATAGTTGCTTGAATACAAAATAGCACGCATTATCAATGAAAAATAAAATAGTAACTTTTACATTACAGGTCTCTGCAGGTCTTGTGTTGTAAAACACCGTCTCAGCCACACAGCCGCTGCAGTATCATATACACGTAGGTGTGTCCATATATTACAAACTAATGTTTGGTACGAATATATCATCTTTTTTTCTTGTTCTCTTTTCTGTTTACTCTTGTTATGCCTTGTTCTTATTTACTACTCGATGGATTGATATTATTTTGTTTAATTCCGCTACAATTAACATGTGTGAGACTACAAATATTCGGTGTGGAAACCTGTTTATTGTTGTTGTTTATTATGATTTTTGATTTCTTTGCATGCGTTCTGTTATTTTCAGCCAATTTTGTTTTAATTCTATTATAATTGTCAGTGTCGTGTTTCTACGCATCTACTGCATCATCATTTCGTTTAATTTCATTTGTTTCAATCATTTTAGTCGTGAGAAGTCAGGGCGTGTCGCTAGTTTCTGTAACAATGGCAATTAAATGGTTGATTTGTATAATCATCATAGTAGACTGTAAGTGCAAATAGCACACGAGTAATTACTTAATTGTAATTATCTTGTACCTAATATATTTGATAATACATTGAACTTTGTATGTGTACTGTGTAGTGTGGTAGGCACTGCTACCTATTGTCGTGTCTGATGTTCCTGTACTTGCAGAGGTTGGCTCAGCAGGCATCTACTGCCACTACGTTTACTATCTGCTTGATAACGTACATTAATATGTACGTTATCAAGCACATAGTAAACGCCTCGGTGGTCTAGCGGTTTAGCACCCCGGTTTACTTCCGATCGAATCGAACCCGTGACTGGGTTCGATTCCTCTCACGGTCCAAACATTTGTATTCATGAGTATTGTTTGTATCGGTCTGGGTGTTTTCTATGAATATTATATATGTATATACACACAATTTATATCAGTACCCATAACACTAGCTCTGCTTACCGTGGGATTACATAGATGGCGCTGTGTTTGTGCTGGGGTTATTTATTTAATTATTATATAACAAAGTTTTCTTTAGTAACGCCGTGCGGTCCTTATTGATTTTATTTATTACTTATTTCGGATATCTATTCATATTGTGTTAGTAAACTACAATACATATCCTTATTATTTAAATTCACGTCCAGGTGCACATTATTGTTGAATATGTTTTTTTAGAATATTTATTTCTTCTTCAAATTCCTCGTTATATTTTTTACTTTTTTTTCCCACATTGTTGTATAGCAATACAATCTAAGTGTATAGGCTTCTCTGGAAGATCTATAAAGACTCTGTTAATCTTAAAACCTTCTCGACACTAAATATTAGTAAATATCATTTTTGTGACACTGATTCTTATTTTATCTAATCTATACTTCTTACTGCATTACGTAAGTAAGAGAATAGTGAGAGACTCTACAATATCGTCTACAGGTACCTCTGTAACATCTATTGCTTCATTAACATAAGCAGCTTGTTTTGTAAGTTGTATTTCTACATTTATGATATATGACAGTGAAATATTAGTTTGCACACCTTATTCTTGAAGTCCTCGCAAATATATTTCATGATATCTGTTGCATTCATGTCTATGAGTTGTATGGGATCTAGATACATCAATATAATAATTGCATTTAATAATGTCAAACTAGTAAGACAAACTCAATATTGTGTACTAAGCACTGCCGTGTCTAAATACATATAAATAAAATTGGAGTGTCTGTTTGTAATATTGAAATAACAGTTTTTTACTACATCCATAGGAATATACATACGGTACATACACCAAAATAACATTTTTTACAATTTTTGTCTGTCTGTCTGTTTGTTCCGGCTAATCTCTGAAATGGATGGACCGATTTTGACGGGACTTTTATTGGTAGCTGATGTAGTAAGAAGTAACTTAGGCTACTTTTATTTTAGAAAAATTAAAACTCCACGCGGACGAAGTCGCGGGTACAGCTAGTGATTAATAAATTTAAACGTCGCGTGAAGTGTTTAGTTTGTAATATTTTAATACTTGTTTTATTTTGTAATTATCTAACATGTGAATGTCGTCGTTATCACATAATAACCAACGAGGGTGAATGTTATCTGGTGCCTAACATTGCAGCAAACATTCGACTTGTACAACAAACTTCAATTGTTTATATTTAAAACTAGCTACACGCGTAAATAAAGAATTTCTCAAAAATAATAGTAGCCTAAGTTACTCCTTATTTCGTCAGCTACCTGCCAATAAAAGTCCCGTCAAAATCGGTATAGCCATTTCAGAGATTAGCCGGATCAAACAGACAGACAAAAATGGTATAAAATGTAATTTTGGTGACTGTACCATATGTATGTAGTAAAAAACGGTTATTTCAATATTACAAACAGACACTCCAATTTTATTTGTATGTATATATTACGTTTCTATCCGTGAACACCTGTAAGAGGTCGTTCTGATTTAATTATGTTTATCACTATGTTTGTAAATAGTATTAGTTTTACGAAAACAAATAAATAAAATAAAAACTGTTCAACTACTATATTGAAATTGTGACAATGCAACATCTTTAATTCTTTAACTCGTGTCAGTTCTTCAGAACTTTTCAATAGGGCTGTGTTGTAATGATTTCAAATGAAACAGTTACTCTAGTGGTGAATAAATTAAAAACGTCATTTAAAATGCTTAAATTTATTTCATTTTTACACTTATGTTATCAATGTATGTACACTTTACAGTCATAGACGCGTTTACAATCTAGCCTGGATCCAGGAGAGGAAGGAGGTGACGCGGGCGAAGCCGGCGGGGAAGCCACGCTGGCAGCCGGAGGCGGAACCGAAGGACACCACACCGATCTGAGGAAAATAAACAAATAATAAATAAAGTTAAACAAAACAAAGCAAAAATCGCGATCAGAAAGTGTATTGAGTGTATGTGAAGATACTGTGAGGACAGTTTCCCGAACTGCGTATCTAGCGAGATCACTAGTAACATCAAACGAAGACGACTGAAGGTAGACCAATATGTCTGTCCATAAAAGATTTTCTAATCCATCTACCCACTGCTCTTTAGTTTCCCTTGATCATGGTGTTTGAAAACTGCCGATATATCGGGAACTTGATAAAAATAAATAAAAAGTAGTAAGAACCCGTAATTTTTCCTAATTTGTATGTATAAATAGTGACTCGATAAAATTTAAAACAGTATAAAATAACAAGTATGTTATATTCACAAATAATCCAGTACACATCCTGATGGGAGGAGTTTAAGTCACGTTTACTTGCAACATTCAATCTACTGACCAGAGTGCGCTGGTTGCTTGCCCACAGCCACAGAGGACCGCCGGAGTCTCCACCGCATGTGCTGCGTCCGTTGGCGCCGCTCACACACAGAGTGGAGCTGATGACGACGCTGGTGCCGTAGGTGGAGGCGCAAACTGCGTTGGTGATGACCTGCAGCTGCACGTGGCTCAAGATCTGGTTCTGGCTGATGCCGCTGCCTGAAATTATTGGAAAAAAGAGAAAAGCCATCAGAACATAGTCAGTACAGCAGAAGATATGTAGAATCATTTGGATTGTGTGAGAGGACACGCCCGAACAGAGAACAGATTACATCTGTGTAAAAGAAGAAGTCAAAACATAACCTGATATAACTATTTACTTTGATATTATTACATTAATATTATTAGCCTAAATTCAAAATATCTATATTCATTTTATAAATATATTTTAATAAAAAATATGTCAAATCTACCGTCAATAAGTCAAATTAAATTAACAGCCTTTTTTGAAACTTGTCTGACTATACACAATTTGAGTTTGTCTGACTTAAATTGATGTCGTCAGTATCTTTATACATAAAAATTACGTGTCACATTGTTTGTCCGCGATGAATTCCTAAACTACTGAACTGATTGCAAATTTGATTTGCACATTTTGGGCAATTTCATCCAACTTTAATCATCATTAACAATAACATCTTAATTTATAGTCGCAATATTATTTTATTCAAGAACCTCAGAAACACAGCAACGCGTGGCCGTATCTGCTGGTATGTACATTATATATAAAATGCTTACTGTCGGATGTACGTCCGAAGCCGGCTGCCCACGCCCAGCTACCGGCGAAGTTGTTGTTGGTCAATCCGGTTGGCAGCCTCACAGGTTGGATGTTGTCTATGAACAAACAAATTTCATCAGTATTTTAGATTAAAAGGAGATACCAGAGACTGCATAATCTGTTTGAAGATTTTGTTTTTATATTTATATTCCTTTATATATCTGACTATAGTATAGAAAAGCTAAAATAATATAGACAATTAGTCAAACGATTATGTAAATATAGTTAAACTCTAGTACTAGAAAGTTCATTAATAGATGTGTTATTTAAAACACTCAAATGTTAATTGATATTAAAGTTCTCCCTAAAAAGTGTACCGTCTTGATTAGTACAATGAGCTAACTTGTAAATATGTTGCATTGAACTAAATATACTAAATTCTACAAAAAAATTACTACTGTAATTATTATTCTTTTAGTTGATATTGATAAGTCAATACTGACTGGTGTAGGTGACCCAGCTAAGGTTGATGATGGCGATGTCGTTGTTGAGGTTGTTGGTGTTGTAGTTGGCGTGTACGGACACCGAGGAGCTGGTGATGCGGGTGCCGCCGGAGAACAAACGGAGAGAGCCAAGAACGATAGTCAACTGTCTAGCATTTTGGCGACCGTCAAACCAGCAGTGAGCGGCGGTGACTGCCCTGGTGTTGGTGAGCAGCGAGGAACCGCAGACAGAGGTGCCACCAGATTGCAGAGTGATCAGCAGTCCACCCTAGGTAACAGAAAGGAAGGGAATCTAATTTAAAAGTTATATTTTAACGCTGATGATTCTTCTAATTATATTTCTATTACTGTTGGAACTAGAAGACTATTTTCTAAATTGTTGCTGATTTTAGTGTAATATAGAAATAACCCTATTTGATTTTAAATGATGCAGAATGATAATTGACACAGCAAAAAACAGTAATTAGACAATTATAATAAAATGTAAACTTACACATAAAATATACTTTAAATTAGTTGTTTTAGTTAAAGTGAAAGTAGAAGATTAGAAATTATAAATAGTTATAGATAGATAGCTTGCATAATAAATTAAATACAGAATTGAAAACGTCGACAACAAAGTACAATAAATTGATTCGAAAGAAGAGGTCAGCCTTCCCATCAAATGATCTCAAAGAAATAAAAGTTGAATAATCATAATTAAGTTGGACGCACTATCAAATCTTAGAGTGCAGTTCTTAGGATATCTTATGCATTATTTATATTTTGGAGTAAATATTCATTGAATAGAACATTGAATATCTATAAATTTGCTGTCACTCACCAGATGGGGATGGTCTCCGAGGGCGGCGGGGGAGCCCCCGACGATCCTGGAGCCGTCGAAGTCGCCGGCCTCCTCGCTCCTCTTGATGGCGGCCGCCAGAGGGATGCCCACGTTCTCGTGGTAGTACAGACCGATCGGCTCCTCGGCCACCACCGCTCCCACCAGCGCTACCAGCAATAACAGTTTCATCTTCAGGCAGGGAAGTAACAACGTTATATGATGCGATCGATTCCACGGCAGGCTTTTATACTAAAATTTAAAACATCTATCTTTGATTAATCGCTAGAATTAATATTTTATAAGATTCATTAAGACATGTTATCACATTATCAGTGTATTCTTCAGATTATTTAGATATGCGATCCGATTACTTGTGCAGCACATCCTTGAGGGCGCCGATGTGTTGGTGTTGGTGCGTGCGTATCGTCGTATTCACCCGCTGCCGCCGCTTCATATTTTTAAATATATTTTATTCATTTCAGATTATTTTCTCCAAAAATACACCATGATTCCTAGAAACTGTTTCATAGTGCATACAGGACATGTAGCAGCTTAAACATCGTCTACAAAATCATTAATATGCATTCTATTTTAGTCAAAACATACATTTAAAATATATAATATTATTTCTGTAGATTCGGCATTGGTCTGGATGTATTATGTAGACAATTAAAACAATGGACCTACTTATGTACTTCCTTCAATTGTTCAGTGACCATAGTACTGTTTGGGACTATTTATATGGCGCTGTGTGAATTATCTTAAGTTATTGTAGTTTTTTATTTCTCTCTTTCTTCTATTCTTGCGCCATCTATTTTTCTACATCATTTACCACTTTCTGTCTTCTTTCTTCTTCCCATACTTTGTCTGGAAGCGATTGCTTATGCGTTAAGACCGCTCTTTGTAACTTGCTACTCTAATTTATGTTCTCTGTAATTTATTGCTGGTGCAATAAAGAGTTTATAAATAATTTGTTCTAGTGCTACCGTAGATCCTGTTACATCAACATCACAATTTATTTAAGCCGGACGTTCGTGTATACGAGTATTATAAATGTAAAGATTGGGACCACTTGCCTCTATCACTAATAATTCTTCTTCCCTGGTTATACCATTTTTTCGCTTTTGGTCTACGCTCGCTGCAGCTGAGGTTGTTTTATATTTCTTTAAATGTTTTGGTTTTTTTTTAATATATGTTAGTTGTTTATTAATTAGTTCTGATGTTATTTTATACGTGTGTTATTTCTAATTGTTAGTTATGTTACCATTAGCTGTGCCCGCGGTTTTACCTGCTTTAAATTTACATCCTCGGTTTATTCAGATATAAAAGTACATATTGTAAGCGACGCACTACTTATATATATTTTATTGTATATCTTTATGTCATGTTCCTCTTAAGATGTTCTTGTTTTGCCCTATTGTTTAGAAATGTATGTATACCTATATTACGAACCTGCGTATGATTTTTATTAAAGGTACAGGTATGTGCCATTGCACATACTGACCCGCCGTACTGTCCGTATACCTGCTCAGTAGCGTCCCACCAACCAACGCGAACGTGGCTTGTTGCAAGTCCTAGTTTTAAACTACGCAATATCTTTTATTTTCATCCCTTATACATATATTATTGTAACGTTTCAATAATATCTATTCAGCAGTATTTGCGTGAAAGACTAACAAACATCCATCCATACTAACAAACTACCGCGTTTATAATATTAGTAACAAGTTAGATTTGATTTCATTTACGATATCCTTCATTTTAGGTGATGCTATATTTGTTTCTACATTTACAAAATCAAAACCCGGGAAATCCGCTAGTATAATTCTATTATAACATTTTTATCAGAGCAGACAATACATTGGAGATTGTACTTAAGTTTTATCACGAGGAATCCTTATCAGTGTCTCAAATACAATCTAATTATTATAAGTTAGAACGCGTAATAATTGTTTGGTGTACAAGTGTACTATTGAACTGGTGTGTACTATGGAATTTAGCATTACAAGTTTTTTTTCTGTCTACTCTAATGCTGGCCGCAGCTGGCCTTTACAGCTTCACCGGACGATAGGGGGCGAGTGCAGATGACACAAACCAAAGGACAAATGGAGCGGCTGAAGGACAACTCCCGCCTGACGGATACAGCCTTACAAGTGCGCAGCCAAATATACAGTTTGTGCTCTATAGAATAGAATAGAAAATCATTTATTCAAATAAACTTACATTGAAGCACTTTTGAATAGTCATCACATTTTTTTTTTAATCTACCGCTCATTCGGAAAGCTGTCTCATCACAAGAAGAACGACAAAGAACTTGCGTGTTGTTCTTTTAAATAACTTTATTGTTACTTTACATTTTTAAGTTGAAGTGTGTGAAGCAGATAGTGATCCAAGAGTCGAGTGGCTGCAACTGTGATGAATAAGAGCACCATTACACCGAGGTAAACTGACAAGACTCATCTGCTTATCTTTTCAGCTGCCTTTGACGACCTCGATGGTCTAGCGATCTAGCACACCGCTTTACGTCCGATGGTCGCGGGTTCGATTCTTCGCACGGCACAAACATTTGTATTCATGAGTATGATTGTTTGTATCGGTCTGGGTGTTTTCTATGTATAATATATGTGTTACAAAAAAAAAAATCTATGTACTTGTATCAGTTGTCTAGTACCCATAACACAAGCTTTACCTAGCTTAACTTGTGTCTAGATGGCGCTGTGTGAGTTGTCCTGAGATTATTATTGTTTATTCCTAGATTTGTTCGGTGTTATAGTTTACAGTTGCGGGTCATACTTACCAAGTAATTGTAATATGTTTAATTCATAGTTATTTATTATTATTTTGAGCGTGTGTTATGTCAGATATAAAATATACTAGCTGCGCCGCCGACTTCGTCCCCCCCCCCCCCTCTAACCCCTCTCGTCCCCTGCGGTGTGGTAGTTATCAGCGTACCGACGTGTGTTACATTATAGATCACCCGTGTGTCTATCTGTCACCAAATCCTACAAATCCGGTTATCTAAATCGCATTAAAAAATCATATTTTTTTTATTATCGCCCGCTGATGAGTTTTTGAGACCTGCGAGGACATTCTGTTGACAGTTATCATTACTGATGTTATTAAAACGGTATTTATTTTTATGTTTGTTTTGTTTTTATGAAGGACAAGTAGTTACGCGCGACATCGTCTGCTTTTGAGATAATTCAGGCATTAAAATTCGTTGCGTAGTTTAAAAGATATAAGCGAACATACGATATATGATAGCGGATATATTTTACTATGTAAATAATATAATTACCATGGATGACAAAAAAGTATGTTATATATATTAACATTTTTACTATATGGTTATCGAAAACTAGGTGTCTACTACTAGATAACTGATACAAATACATAGATATATATTTTCCGTAAATATATATAAATCTCCCAGGCCTATACAAACAAAAATGTTTGTGCCGCGCGAGGAATCGAACCCGCCCATTAAATCATAGCCTATGTGTAATTCTGATGTATAAACTATATTATTGCTAAATATCATCAAATTCGATCAGTAGTCAGTACCGAAAAGGGGGTTTTATGTTCAAACATTCTCAGCATCCTAATAAATGTCAAAAATAAACATTCATAATAATACGTTTATAATGTTATGCACTAGGTGACACGCGCGACTTTGTCTGCATCACACTTATCATAATATCTCCCAATTTCCATTAATATCTTTTAAAAGCAAAGCCTATTACTCACTAAACGATTACTTGAATGACGAGCGTGCATGCCAATAGTTGTTCATGTACGGGATTTTCATTTAATGTTAGACATAGACACCTATATAAATATACATTGTAAATAAACTGGCTTTTAAAAAAACAAATAATTCAATTGAGTTTCTTGCCAGTTCTTCTCAATTAGATCTATATACCGAACTGGGGAAAAAATATAATATAAAAAATTTGACGTTAATAAGCGGCTAATATGTCCTACATGAATAAATGATTTTTTAATTTGAATTTGAATAAATTATAGCCCATGTGTTATTCTGACGCATAAACTATATTACTGTAAAGTTTTATCAAAATACATTCAGTAGTTTTTTCGTGAGAGAGTAACCAACATCCATCCATACTCACAAACTGTCGCGTTTATTATATTAATAAGATATTTCTTGGCATCTTTTGTATGCGCCAAATAAATGTATTCTTCTTTTTTTCTTTCAATTGACCCTGTTTCTTTGTTTTGAAGTCGGCTAAAACAAACAATTATGCACATTACCTGATAAGTAATTAAAACTGTGATTGATAACGCAAGTGCGTCACCAATGTGATATATATTGAGTTAAATATAATCCTATGTACCTATATGTATGTATGATAAATTAACAAATTAAATTATTAACGAATTTATTTACAAAAAATCATAAATTATAATTAATTTGCGGTGGACCACCCTTATTACTTAGGGGTAAGAAAAGTAATTTATGTTCTACCGACGGTAGATTTCATATCATAGTCCCACGGTAAGCAGAGCTTGTGTTATGGGTACTAGACAACTGATATAAATAAATAAATAACCCTGGACAATTAACACAGCGCCATCTAGTCCCACGGTAAGCAGAGCTTGTGTTATGGGTACTAGACAACTGATATAAATAAATAAATAACCCTGGACAATTAACACAGCGCCATCTAGTCCCACGGTAAGCAGAGCTTGTGTTATGGGTACTAGACAACTGATATAAATAAATAAATAACCCTGGACAATTAACACAGCGCCATCTAGTCCCACGGTAAGCAGAGCTTGTGTTATGGGTACTAGACAACTGATATAAATAAATAAATAACCCTGGACAATTAACACATCGCCATCTAGTCCCACGGTAAGCAGAGCTTGTGTTATGGGTACTAGACAACTGATATAAATACATAGATACTTTATTTTGTAAATACATACGTAGGGGGAAAAGCTGATTGTTAGTAATGTGGACTGATGATCTTATTGCTAGCAATGTACCATGTCAGCTTGACCTCCACGCGTTTTCCCTGGAAACCATTGTGATAAATTCTTGGTAAATTTGTCACGATGTGCTAACTGACCTGACCTCATGCTCGTCTTATCATCCTCCACTGGTGCCCCGCTAGCGTAAATCGTTAGCGCAGGCGGGTGCACCATTACATTATCATCTATAAAATATATATATATATAT